GATATAGAACCAGACCGTGCTGAGACATGTGACGCAGTTGCGGGAGTGCAGGGTGACCTAGACAGTGGTGCCACAGAAGTGACGGGTGAGTGAGCGACTGACACGTGCAAGCTGCAATGACCTGGGTAGACGCAGGGCCCGGGGAGGACGTGCCAACCGGGGGGGAAGCAGTGTCCAGCGCAAAGAGGCCAGACACCGGGTCTCGGGGGAACGTCGCAAGGGGGGAACCTGAGGTGGCCTCGGTACAGACAGCTACCGCTCGTGACCAGGAAACATAGTGGTGACGCCGAGGTCATGAAGACAACCGACACCAACTAAGTTCCTGGAGAACGAAGGGATGTGCAGGCCTATAACGGAACCCGAGGGGACCGTTGAACAGGGAAGGGTAGTGTAGCTGCGAGCAATGACAGGACTAGAAGAGGGGTCAGCTAGTGCGACAGCGGCAGGCGTGACAAGCGGCGTGAGTGTGGCGTGGTCGGCAAGAAGCAGGCTAACGCACCGGAGTCAAGTATGAAGGACATCGAAGCAGTAGCGACAAACGTAGGAGGAGCGAGGGTGGAGCCTAGACTAGACAAGGCAATCGGTCTTACGACTGACGCAGCAGGGCTGTCTGTACCACACAGGTGCTACGCCTAAGCTAGAGAACACAGGGTAATAAGATCTAGACACACTAGAAGCGTCAGCATACAGAGAATGCAAGGCAGAACTAAGTCAAAAACAGGCACACCGTGGCACAGTAGACTGGGCCAGTCAGGGAGGTCCGTGGCCGGGCCAAAGCGGCGACGAAAGAGGTCGTCGACGCGGCGGAAGCAGCGGACGATCGGGTGCGGGCGGCGGCACACAGTGCCACGGAAGGGCCCGGTCTAGAGCTGGTCTGGCAGCCCACAGCACCGAAGCCGCTGGTAGACGCCAAGCTGCGAGGACTGCCACCACGACCACCACCTCCAGGGGCTTCCGGCCATCCCGGCGGGAGGCGGACCCACGGCTGCTGCTGCTGCTGCGCCTGCTACTGCGGCTACTGCAGCTGCTGCTACGGCTGCTGCTGCTACTACTACTGTTGCTGCTGCTGCTGCTGTTGCGGTTCCTGCTGCGACTGATGCGGCTGCTGCTGCTCCTGGATACCTGCCCCAGCCGCCTCGTCAGAACTGTTGTCGCCGCCCCCACCACCACGCCCTCCCGTGGGGCTGCGACGGCCCCGACGCTGTCGCTGCTGCTGCGGAAAGGCCGCCGTTGTAGTCTCAGAAATAGGAGCAGCCGTAGCGACCGCGGCGGTAACGTCGGCACACGTACACTGGGAGGGAGCACAGCCCTGAAACATAGGGACTGCCGCAACACCGCTCGACTAAGAGATAGTGCGCTGGCGAGTCTCTATCTCATAAAGGGCAACGACAAGAGCGGTCAGGGTGAGGTCACAAGGGTGCTGGCTAAGGAAGTGGTCGCGGGCAGTGGCTAAGCGATCAGGCAAGCGCGTGGCAATAAGGTACAGGGTAGTGCAGAACGACGCGGGGAAGGCAGTGAGCTGGGCAGTAGTGCTAGCAGCGCGGTAGCTAGTCTCTAGTGCACAGCGAGATCAGCGATAGTGGGGAAAGCAGAGAGATCAAGGAAGAGCATGGGGAGGATCAAGCGTCCAGCTGAGGCGGAGGCATGCGTGAAGTAGCGTGCAACTACTGCATCTAAGAAGTCTTTGGCATTCGCGACAGCAGTGAAACGCGGGCGCTCAGATAGAGGAAGCGCATGACTAATGGCAAGCTGTGCTACAGCATCGCGAGAATCCCAAACAGCGCGAGAGAGCGTAGCAGCAGCAAAGGCCTCACTCTCAGCAGTCGTGGGGTCAGCAGGGAGGGGATCAGGTGTGAGGGGTGGGGAAGCAAGCCATCAACATGCATAGCCAGGGAGTGCCCATCATGGCGCTAACCTGTCAGGTGCCGGCGAAGATCGACAAGCCAAGCAGCGAAGTCGATCGCGTGCCCGTCCACTTCCAGGCGTAGCATGGCGTCCGCCATCGCACAACCGCAGCGACAGCGGGACATAGCGGCACAGGAACGCAGGTACGCAGGTGCACGACGATACAGCGACGTGGCGGCAGGGGCAGCCTGCGGGCACGGAAGGGGCCGGCCAGGTGGGTAGGAGGGGCCGGCTAGGCGGTGGTGGCCGGCTAGGCGTGAGGGTCCGGCTGGGTGAGAGGGGCCGGCTAGACGAGCAAGGGACCGGTGGTGGCGCGAGAAGGGGGGGCGGCTAAGCGCGAGGGGCTGGCTGGGAGCGAGGGGCCGGCTGGGCGCGAGGGGCCGGTGACTGCGCGCGGGGCCGTCGAGGACGCGAGGGGCCAGCTAGGCCGCGAGAGGTCGGCTACAGCGCGAGGGGCCAGCGACGGCGCGAGGGGCCAGCTACGGCACGAGTGAGGGCCGGCAGGGCGCGAGGGGCCGGCTGGGCGCGAGGGGTCAGCTAGGGCGCGAGTGAGGGCCGGCAAGGGCGCGAGGGACCGGCTAGGCGCGGGGGGCCAACGACAGCGTGAGGGGTTGGCGACGGCGCGAGGAGACGGCTACGGCGCGAGGGAGGGCCAGCTAGGGGGCGAGGGACCGGCTAGGCGCGAAGGGGCCAACTAGGCGTGAGGGGCCGGCTAGGGCGAGAGGGGCCGGCTGCGGCGCGAGGGGCTGGCCAAGCGCGAAGGGCCAGCGACGGCGCGAGGAGCCGGCTACGGCTCGAGGGAGGGCCGGCTAGGCGCGAGGTGGGGCCGGCTAGGGCGCAATAAGGGTTGGAGAGGTGTGGTAGGCTAGGGCACGGGGCGGAAGCGGGTGGGGGGTACCTAACCTGCTCTAATACTATATTAGAATACTAGAATAAATCAACAAGAGAGAACAAGCAAGCTATAGGATAGGGTTGTACTCTCTAAGAACATACACCTATTCTAGCCTATAATTTCTACAAGCAATGTATGTATAAGTTGACATGTACCGAATCCTAATGTTCTTTTCTCGGGATGCCCGAACTCGTGAGTTGAAAACGGTGTTATTTTTGCGTCGAAAACAACCAAAAAAAAAAAAAAAAAAAAGCCGAGGAGGAAACTTGGCGCTCTTGCCAATGCGCACCTCTGTCAATTTATGCGACATTGAAGTTGACTGGTAGACGGGAATTTTACCGGTTTTAGAAAGCATTCCATGTTGGTGCCAGCTACAAACTTCCCTGACACCCGGGCAGTATCTGCTTCCACGGTACAGGTAGGTTGTACTACCTGCTTGACACGCAGTCTAGCTTGCCCTCATACCCTCGCGCCCAAGCTGAAATATTAGCTAGGGCCAATTTTCGTTAACACAATTTCGCCACTTCGATCCCTCGTCAGCCAATCAAATTCTACCGACCCAACCACCTCAGCAGTGCAATATGCAACCTGAGGGTCGGGTTTTTAATTCAACACTTGTAATCCACCTCTTGTGTATGAGCAGACCCTTTATAAGAAATGTGATGCCACGTCAAATTCTGCAAGGTATGATGGGGTGTCCAGGGTGTACGATTTTGTTAAAACCATACCCGACCGTTCTAGAATCGTTATTGATCCTTCTGATCCGTGAGGCACCTCACCTAACCACAATCAAACGTATGCGATGGACACGCCCTGGCTTGTCCTTTTCCGAAGATTTTGGTACGATACCGTATCCCCCGTATACTGGGCAGTGATTCGTTTCTTGTAGCTCTAGGAGTTCGAGCCCTCGTTCACGAAAGTCTTTCGGGAGGGTTGCAAAGTCGGCATTTATGAGTGTAAAAACTAAAGTGAGACATTTTCAACAGGGTGTACTGTGATGGTTAGCTTGGTTTTGTTCAGGGGATGAGGTTTCGCATTCGGCCATGAAACTTTCCGCTAAGCGTAATCTCTCGTGTTTCGGTTTTGGCTTGCTATGTTCTCCGCCCACCGAATGAAGCCTCTTTGGTCCATGTTCCAAATCTGATGTCTATACTGGCAGAATCACAGTGGGAGAAAGCACGTCAATTCAGCAACACCGAGCCGAGTGAGGCAAGCAGGCTATTGGTGTACAGGACACGTGTTATTAGTTCATCATTCACCCCAGATTTCGCCAAACTGAATGGAGGGCCAGGTGGAAATCCCTCCGGTTTGATTTGGGGGAGCAACTTCCGCTGTCTCGGCTTGCCGAACCAGCCGGTATGCTGCCGCACCTCCCCCACCACACCAAACCCAAAGCCAGAGTTCTGCCACAGTCGGTGTGTGCGTATCTGCCGAGCCTCTCTCACCCTTTCCACACCACAATCATCACCATGCCTCCACACCTAAGGGCGTGTAGCCTACGGTTTGGTCAGCCTAGTTCCGGAACTTAGTTCCGAACTCGATATACCCGAGTTTTGTTTGTCGCTGGAATATCGAGTTTCGAAACTCAACTATGATTGCTGTCCCTCAGTGGAACATCGAGTTTCGAAATTGGATGTTCCATCGTTCAAACGTTTGGACTACGTGCGAAGGGTACTTTGCGAAGAAACGAAACCCCAACCTTACGTAAGCCAATCACACTCTAGGCATGACGAATCTTGCAGCACACATTCTGATTTGTCACTCGCCTCGATTGGTGGTTCAGGCGCGCGAACAAATGCGATCGTTGATTTGGTGTATTTTTCTCGCAGGACTCGCATGGCCTTTTCGCACAGAACTGGAGGGAGAATCTCGAACGGCCGTCCGGACGACCGTTCGAAACTGGCGTCCGGATGTCGCTGGAACATCGAGTGTCGAAACTGAAGAATCCTTCGCAACAAACTTAGCGAATTAGCGTGCGAGTTGTGGCGAGATTTGTCACCACACCAAAACTCGGACGGAACTCAGTTCCGAAAACGTATGCTACACGCCATAGCAGCAGCCCGGGCCCGGAGCAGCGACACACGCAGAACCGTTCATGAGACTCCCAAGGGCAGTGAGACACTTCCCCCCCCCCCCATGCTTGCAGCTGATGCAACCCCCGAGGTTCCCCAGCCATACTGGAAGCACTCCTCCACAGAAGCAGAGCACTCCTAATTACATGACACCTCAGCTACATCAGCCTAAGAGCTTGCTGGCGATGGAAGGAATGAAACGTCAGCGGCTCGAATCACATCCTCAGCAATTCAACCACTAAAAGAGGTCCTTCATCCCCTCCCTGGATCCAAACAGAGTATTTTAGTCCTCGCCTGAGCCTCGCGAGTAGTTTCCTAGACTTCGAAGGCGACATCGGGCCAGTCGAGATGGACGACAGAGAGCCAGTGGAGGATCTCGTTGGCGAGGCAGAAGGTTACCCAAGCGCTCAAGTAGAGGCCTCCATCTTCGGGTCCGAGCCAGAACCAGAATACTGCAAGTACAGCACGGGACACATACGAGAAGAAATAGGGTTCGATGGCCGGTACCTAGACTTCCGTCCCGAGAGCACGAAGATCGGTCAGATTCAGTCCTTCGGGTGCTTGATACTCGTCGAGGAAAGCTCTTTTCGCATCCTCGCACTTAGTCGAAATGCAGTAGAAATGTTAGAGATTGACGCTCTTCCGGGAAACCCGAACTGGAAAGGCGCCATTGGCCTCGATGCACGTAGTCTATTTAAACTAACAAGCGTAGCGACTATTGAGCGAGCTTGTAGCGCGACCGATCTTAACATCGTTTGCCCTATCCTCGTTAGCTCGCACCGATCCGCTAACCCGTTTTACGCTATAATGAGGCGATGCGAGGAAGGGCTGATGATAGACTTCGAGCCGTTGAAGTTCGATCCCCCGTCAGGTCCCGTTACCGGAGCGCTCGCGTCTCACAAGCTTGCAGCGCGTGCTGTCGCGAGGCTGAAATCGCTGCCTGTTGGCGACGTGCGGTTGCTGTGTAACACTGTCGTGGAGGAGATTGGCGAAATGACGGGTTACGATCGCATCATGGTGTACAAGTTCCACGAGGACGAGCACGGCGAAGTGCTGGCGGAGTTTCTTAACAACCAGAAGATCGAATCTTATCTGGGATTGCATTATCCGGCCACAGACATTCCAATGGTGGGTCCGAACACACCCCATGTTCAGGGACACAGGAACATAGTTATAATGTGGAATTTATGGGTTGCCTCTGGTGAAATTGCAGTAAGCTTGACAGGGCAGTTGTGCCATGGATTTTGCCACTGGTGGCATGTACAAGAGACGAAAAGAGGTTGGCACAACAGACTTGGGGAAAGGAAAGGACCTCCCTGACGTACTCCGCTTCATCATTCGTGTGGGCTGGCATCGACTGAGACTGACTGAGACGAACCGAATGACTGAGACTGACTCAGGGACTGAGACTGACTGAGACTGACCGAGTGACTGAGACTGACTGAGTGTCTGGGACTGACCGAGTGACTGAGACTGATCGAGACTGACCGAGGGACCGAGACTGACTGAGACTGACTGAGGGACTGAGACTGACTGAGACTGATAGAGACTGACCGTGTGACTGAGATTGACTGAGACTGACCGAGGGACTGAGACTGACTGAGACAAACTGAGGGACTGAGACCGACCGAAACAAACTGAGGGACTGAAACTGACCGAGACTGGCTGGTGGACGATGCGAAGCCGTCCGCCACTCCTTGAAGATGTGACGCTATGAGCCTGTGGATCCATGACTGTATCATACGGGCTGTATGGTGGCGTGACTGCATGGAGGCGTGACTGTATGGAGACATGACTGCATGCCTGTATGGCGGCATGCCTGTTTGGGGTCATAAGTGTATGCAATCCTGACAGCAAGGGCACCTGTCTGAGTCCTCCCGCGCTTTCCCTTGGTTGGTTTCCCTTCCCCCTCCTCCCCCTCCCCCTCTTTTCTGAGATGGCGTGCCATACGTTCATGGAGAACCGCGTGCGCATGATAGTGGACAGCAAGGCGCCTATAGACACATGTCAAGATGTGTCAGCTCATTCTCCCTCGTCTCCACTTCTTTCCCCCCCCCCTTCCCCTGATGGCGCGGCGCACGTTCATGGAGAACAGGGCGCGCACGATAGTGGACAGCAGGGAGAGAGCTGAGGCAGCCCAAGGCATGGCTTTCTCTTCCTGTCTTCCCCCTCTTTTCCCAGATGGCTCGGCGCACGTTCATGGAGAACAGGGCGCGCATGATAGTGGACGGCAAGCCACCTGTCTGTCTGAGGCGCTTTCATTCCCCCCCTCCCCCCCTCCCCAGATGGCGCGGCGCACGTTCATGGAGAATCGGGTGCGCATGATAGTGGACAGCAAGGCGCCAGGCGTGGACGTGCTGCAGCAGGGCGCGCTTCCGGGGGGGCTGTCGCTGGCGCACAGCACAGTGCGCATGGTGCGCTCGTGCCATCGCGAGTACATGAGCAACATGGGCACGCTGGCGTCGCTGGTGCTAGCCATCACTGTCAGCACGGGGTGAGTGGTTCATTCTGAGTGGAACCTCCTGGCTGCATGCAGCGGTTTCTCTGGCTCGCTCCACAGCGCAGAAGGCTGTCCCTGGCGCACAGCACAATGCGAATGGGGCGCTCTTGCCACGGCGAGCACATGTCTAACATGGGCACGCTCGCGTCTCTTGTTCTAGCCATCACCGTCAGCAGGGGTTGAGTCCACTAGGTAATCTCCTGACTGTATGGAGGCTGTATGTGTCGCTCGTGCCTCCAGCAACATGGGCACGCTGGCATCGCTGGCCCTCCTCGCCATCACCGTCAGCAGCACGGGGTGAGTTGAGCGGATTCTGTGCAATCCGTCTGGACTCTTCTTGAGAGGCCCCTCCCTGCCCTCGCTCTCTCTTCATCTTTCTTTGCCGCACTGATTTCTTCCTCCATTGCTTCCCTTATTCTCTCCCCCCCATCTCCTCCATCTCCCAGTTTCCTACTGCACTGCCTCTCTCCTTCCCTCCCTCCCTCCCTCCCTCCCTCCCTCCCTCCCTCCCTCCCTCCCTCCCTCCCTCCCTCTCTCCCTCCCTCCCTCCCTCCCTCCCTCCCTCTCCTCTGTCGATTTCTTCCATCTTCCTCGCCCCTCCGAGGTCCCCCCTTCCCCCCCGAACCCCACAGGGAAGCAGAAGCGGCATTAGCAGCACTAGCAGCAGCAGCACCACCTAGCGATTTCGTCTCCATGTCGGAGAAGGGACTTCAATCCTCAAACATCCGCTTACCCCCCCCATGTGTTTTTTCCCCCCCAACCACACAGGGAAGCGGGAGCAGCACCAGTGGCAGCAGCAGGAGCAGCACCCAACGACGTCGCCGTGGCAGGGAAGGCGGTTCGGGCCGAGCCTGGCCGGCGGCTGTGGGGGCTGGTGGTGTGCCACCACTGCTCGCCCTGCATGGTGCCTTACCCCACCCGCTCCGCCTGCGAGTTCCTCGTTCAGGTGACTCTCTCTATCCCTGTAAAACGATTTTCATGTGGTTTTATAAGCTGGCTGTGGGCCATGAGCTGTGGGCTGTGGGCTTTGGGCTGTGGGCTGTGGGCTGTGGGGGCTGGCTGGTGGCGTGCCACCACTGCTCGCTCGCCCTCCCACTCGGTCTGCATGCAAGTTCCTCGTCTAGGTGAGTCCCGTTCTCCCTTCTCTCCCTGCCCGCTAATTCCATTCCGTTCTCCCTGCTCAATGAGGTCCCTCTCTTCTGTCACCCTGGCATTGTTATTCCACGCACACCCTTTCGCTAACCAGCTCAGGGTGATGCACTCTCTCCTTGGCTGCACTCTCAGACTCAAGGCCCGTCCCTTGTTTCTCCTTTGAGGCGCCTCAAAAACCGTCCCTTGTTTCTCCGTTGTCTCTTCACGTGACCTGTCCCTTCGCAGGTCGTTGCAGTGCAGCTGACCAAGGAGATGGACCTGGCGAACCAGCTCAGCTCAGGGCCAAGCACGCCTTGAAGAAGCAGACGCTGCTGTGCGACATGCTCATGGGGGCGGGACCCACCCCCAGGGGCCGTTGTCTCAAGGCCCTTCCCGTCCATCTCCATTGTCATGTTTCCTTCACTCACTCCCACCGCTCACACTCGCAGGTGTTCGCAGTGCAGCTGACCAAGGAGATGGACCTGGCGAGGCGAACCAGCTCAGCTCAGGGCGAAGCACACTCTCCGTGGCTGCAGTCTCAAGCCCCTTCCCTTGCTTCTCCATTGCCACCATCCTCCCTCACTCCCACCGCTCACACTCGCAGGTGTTCGCAGTGCAGCTGACCAAGGAGATGGACCTGGCGAACCAGCTAAAGGCCAAGCACGCACTAAAGATGCAGACGCTGCTGTGTGACATGCTCATGCGGGAGCCCCCAGTGGCGCTCGTCACCAAGACGCCCAATATAAGTGACCTGGTCCAATGTGACGGTGCCGCATTACTCTATAACGGCCGCTGCTGGCGACTGGGGTCCACCCCATCCGAGCCCCAGGTGCGTGTAGTGGGGTGTGCGTGCGTTGCCTTGGTCTGCGTGTTGAGTGCCCTGCGGAGAATCAGAGGTCATCTTGTCACCAAGACGCATGGTTGACCTCGTGCAGTGCGTCGGCGCTGCTCTCTGCTCTATAATGGCCACTGAGCCCGGGATCTACCCCATCTGAGCCTCAGGTGCGTGTGTTGAGTGCCCTGCGGAGACTCAGAGGTCGCCTCGTCATCAAGTCGCATAGTTGACCTTGAGCAGTGCGCCGGCGCTGCTCTCTGCTCTGCAACGGATGCTGCCGGCTCCATGGAGGGAGCTGCCCCTTCTGAGCCCAGGTGGATGGATACGATCTTAGTGGGATTCTTTCTCGCACTCTTCCCCTCCCCTCCACTCTCCCATTCTCTCTCCCCCCTTCCTCTCCTCTCACCACTCTTCCTCTCAATCTTACCCTCCCTCTCTCCCCCCCAAACGCCGAGTGGCTGCTGACGCACCACAGCGACCCACCAGTCATGAGTTGAGGCGCCTCGCAACACAGCTTCTTCCCTTCCTTATCCCCCCCATTCAATCCCAACCACCAGGTGTTGAGCATAGCCAAGCCAAGCGGCTCTTGATGCACCACAGCGACTCAACTGGCTTGTGTGTTGAGTTGAGGCGCCTCAGAACACAGCTTCGTCCCTTCCTTGTCGCCCCCATCCACTCCCCCCCCCCCCCTATCCACTCCCCCCCTCCCCCATCAGGTGCTGAACATAGCCGAGTGGCTGCTGACGCATCACAGCGACTCTACGGGTTTCAGCACGGACTCGCTCCTGAATGCGGGGTACCCGCATGCGGCTGACCTGGGGGAGGAGGTGTGCGGCCTGATAGCTGTCAAGTTCAGCGATAAGGACTTCCTCATGTGGTGAGTGCTGCGGTTCTTAGGTGCCAAAGCAACTCGGGGTTTCAACACGGAATGTTTTCTTGACTGTGGGCCAGGTGTAACCATGCGGCTGATCTGGGGGAGGAGGTCTGCGCTGCGGGCTGACAGCACAGCCATCAAGTTCAGCGATTCGAACTTTCTGATGTGGCGAGCGCTTCTGTTTCTTCACGTCATAGGGTGTTGTTGCGCTCCGTGTTTTCCATCATACGCCACGCCATGCGCTTTCTGAGCCGTCATCACCATCTGTTCCACCTGGCACGCTGCGCACCATGTAGGATGTGTTTCCCCCGTTAACCCACCTGGGATTTGCAGTGCCATTGCGGCACCTCATGCTCGTCCTCTCCCCTCCATCCTCCATCTCTCTCCCCCCCATCACTCCACCAGTTTCCAAGTGCATGCACCCAAGGATGTGTGGTGACGGGGCGAGAAGCCCGACTCAGCAGATGTGTGCTACCCCGCTCACATCCCCCCCCCTCTCCCCCCCCGCCCCCCGCCCTTCTCCCCCCCAATCACCCCCCCAGGTTCCGAGCGCATGCAGCGAAGGAGGTGCGGTGGGGGGGCGAGAAGCACGACCCGCTGGACATGGACGACCCCACGCGCATGCACCCGCGCACGTCTTTCAAGGCGTTCCTCGAGACCGTGCACATGCGCTCGCAGCCGTGGGAGGATGTGGAGATGGACGCCGTGCACAGCCTGCAGTTAATCCTCCGGTCGGCTCTACAGGTGGGTTCTGAGCGCACCCCGCTCGCTCTCTCGCTCACTCTCGAACAGTCCATCCGTGCATGAGGAAGGAGCATCCTTCAAGGCGTTCCTTGAGACAGGCACATGCGCTCGCAGCCCTGGAGGATGTGGAGATGGACGCCGTTGACAGGCTGCAGCTCATCCGCAGATCCGCTGTGCAGGTGGGTTCTAGCCTCTAGGCATTCCTCTCTCGCTATCGCTCTAGCAGTCCGTGCATGAGCCGTGAGGCAACAGGCGTCGTTCGAGGTCTTCCTGAACATGGTGACTTTTAAGTCGACTCAAAGGTCTTCCTGAAAATGCACATTCTTTCGAGGAGACCATGCGCATGCGCTCAGGTAGCCCTATGCCCCAACACTGTCCCCGCCTCTGTCACCCTCTCTTAAGGAGCATGAAATGGTGAAGCGGAGACAAATAATGCTGGCCCGAGTGGTGGAACTGCGGCTGCAAAGCATGGGCGAGATGAACCAGGTGGCCAAGGAGACCACCTGACACCCACTCACGTTGCACCCATGTGCCTCTATCCCCCTCCCAGGAGCATGACGAGGTGAAGAGGAGACAATTGATGCTGGCCCGAGTGGCAGAGCTGCGGGCGTGCGGCTGCAGAGCATGGGCGAGATGAACCAGGTGGCCAGCAAGACCGTGCTCCCCGTGCCCTGAAACCTGTGCCCTGTATTCATGCCCTGCCACTGTCCCCGCGTCTGTCTCCCTCCCTCTACTCAGGAGCACGACGAGGTGAAACGGCGACAGCTGATGCTGGCCCGCGTTGCCGAGTTGCGGCTGCAGAGCATGGACGAGATCAACCAGGTGGCCAACGAGACCGTGCGCATCATCGAGACGGCCACTGTGCCGATTCTTGGGGTCAACCGCAACGGGCAGATCAACGGGTGGAACATGCAGATCGCCAAGCTCACAGGTGGGTGCTAAGCCGAGGGGCCTTAAATATTAGACTGCATGCAGTGTACTGAGTTGACTGTGGGCTTTGGTGCGCTAGACCACATGTCTCCAATCTCAGGCGCTGACCGCAACGGGCAGACCAACGGGTGGAACATGCAGATTGCCAAGCTCACAGGTGGGCGCTGCGGAGCTTTGAGGAGCCTTAGATGGCAACGTATGGACGAGATCAGCCAGGTAGCGAATGAGACGAGAGTGTACGCATCATTGAGATGGCAGCCTGGGGTCAACCGCAGCAGGCAGATCAACGGGTGGAACATGCAGATCGCCAAGCTCACGGGTTGGACTGCTGGTTCTTCATTCGTTTCCCAACCGTTTCCCACTAATTCGTCTCACTCCTCTTCTTCCGTTCATGCTCCTCTTCCTGTCCCCCCATTTTTGCCGCCCTCGTAACTTCCTAACTGTCTCCCGTCTCTCCTCTCCCTTTCTTCAGCTTTGCCGTTCCCTAGTGGGCCGATCTGCTTTGTCAGAGATTCAAGAGGCATGGCCCTTCCTTTCTTCCCCAACCCCGGTTCCCTACGTCCATCTGCTCTCCAGGCGTGCCAGTGGAGGAGGCCATGGGGCGGTCCTTCCTGCAGGAGCTAGTTGCTGAGGAGAGCAAAGCGGACACGCAGAGACTGCTCGTGTCGGTGAGCATGTGCTTTGGGACGGTGAGCATGTGCTTTGTGGTGGCCAGCATGCATATGGCGCTGACTGCCTCACTCTGCACCCTCTCATTATATGCACCCTACAGTCCAGCTCTGTCTTGAGATGGCTCGAAACACAAACCCCCTCTCTCTTGCCTCCCTCATAGGGTCTCACTCCGTCCTCCCGTCTCCTCCGCATGTCTTTTCCCTCTGGCCTTCATTAACCAGTCTCTGCAAGGCGTGGCTCAGTGGCGTCCCAGCAGGGGTGCTAATCATGCCATGCGCTGTCTTCTTCTCATCTTCCCCTTGGGCTCACTCCTTCCGTTACAGTCGCTACAAGGCCGAGAGGAGTCGGACGCCGAGATTCGCTTCAAGGTGTGGCGCAACGGCGTGCTGGGGAAAGCTCCTGATGCTCCTCACCAGCTCACAGCTCCTTCTCCCGCCCCCTCGTTGCCTGTGCTCCTCCAACAGTCTCTGCAGGGCAGGGAGGAGTCAGATGTGGAGATTCGCCTCAAGGTGTGGCGCAACGGCGTGCCGGCGGGGGTGCTGATCATGCTGGTGAACAGCTGCGCCAACCGCGACATCCACAACCAGATCGTGGGGGTGTGCCTCGTGGGGCAAGACATCACCACGCAGAAGATCGTCATGGATAGGTATGGGGAGGAGGAGGGCTAGGTGAGGGGACGAAGGGCAAAGAAAGGCAAAGAGGGCCAAAAGGGGCAAAGAGGGCCAAAAGGGGCAAAGAGGAGCAAAGAGGAGCGCTGATAATGCTGGTGAACAGCTGCGCCAACCGCGACATCCACAACCAGATTGTGGGGGTGTGCCTCGTGGGGCAAGACATTACCACACAGAAGATCATCATGGATAGGTGAGCTGCACCCTCCTGTGTGTTTCTGGAGGGGTGGGGTTGTAAGGGGAGTATGGACGAGTATGGCATCTGCAGTGAGTGGAACACCTACATGAGCCCTCCCCGCCCCCCTTCCTCTCCCCCCCCCCCCTCCGCTCCCCTTCCCTCCCCTCTCCTCCTCATCTTTCTCCCTTTCTTCTCCCCCCACTTCCCTGTATCTCCCCTTTCTACTCGCGCCTCTCTCCTCCCTCCCTCCTCCGCCCCCTTCTCACCAGGTACATCCGGTGCGAGGGCGACTACCGCACCACAGTGCACTCGCCCATCCCGCTCATCCCGCCCATCTTCGGCATGGACGAGTACGGCATCTGCAGCAAGTGGAACACCGGCATGAGCCCCCCCTCCCCCTCTCCTCCCTTCCTCCTTCCCCCCCTCCTCCCTCACGTTTCTCCTTTTTTTCGCTCCCTCTTTCCCGTATTGTCCTCTCTACGCGCTCCCGTCCGCTCCCTCCTCCGCCCCCATCTCACCAGGTACATCCGGTGCGAGGGCGACTACCGCACCATAGTGCACTCGCCCAACCCGCTCATCCCGCCCATCTTCGGCATGGACGAGTATGGCATCTGCAGCGAGTGGAACACCGGCATGAGCCGCCTCACCGGGCTCGGCAGGGGTGACGTGCTGGGGAGGCTGCTTCTGGGAGAGGTGTTTGGGCTGGAGATGGCGATGCTGATGCTGAGGGATGAGGATGCGATGACGGAGTTGGAGATCGTGGTGAACTGCGCCATGGAGGGGCATGAGGACACGAGCAACCACCCCTTCTCCTTCTTCGCACGGGACGGAAAGCTCCAGGTAAGAAGGCGACTGGGGTTGGGTAGGGCTGCACAGGGGGAAAGTGTGGAGGGACGCGCCTCAGGGGGCTGGGTTGTGAGATTCTTGAGAATTCTCAAGAAGCTCTCACTGGGGAGGTTGCTGCTGGGGGGGGCGTTCGGGCTGGAGATGGTGATGCTGATGCTGAGGGATGAGGATGCGATGACGGAGTTGGAGATCGTGATGAACTGTGCCATGGAGGGGCATGAGGACACGAGCAACCACCCCTTCTTCTTCGCTCGTGATGGGGACTGGCACATGGTTGATGCACTTCGTTCTACTACACTCTCACCCACCCACCACCAACAGCGATAAGTGCTGCTGATGGTGAGCACGCGCATAGGCGTGGGCGATTGTGTCACTTCTCGTCACCGCACCTCGTCACGCTTCTCTTTAGCCGCTTGCCCTGCGCCCATGTCCCCCCCAACAGGCGGTGCTGCTGACAGCGAGACCAGCGCATGGACGTGGATGGGCGCATCATGGGCATCTTGTCTCCTGCTTCCTGCACTCCATGCGCCACGCCGCACCGCGAGGATAGAGCCTTCGCGCGCCCCAACTCCCTTCCTCTCTTGTCTCATGCCCACCTCCCCCCTCTAGCCTGTCCTCAATCCACTCTCCCCCCACTCGCCCCCCACTCTCCCCCCACTCTCCCCCCACTCTTCCCTCACTCCCCCCCCACTCTCCCACCAGGAGGTGCTGCTGACGGGGGGCAAGAGAAAGGACGTGGATGGGCGCATCATGGCCGTCTTCTGCTTCCTGCACTCCATGAACCGCGAGGAGAGAGCCTCGGCGCGCCCCAACTCTCTTTCTCTCTCGTCTCACTCCCACCTCCCCTCTCTCGCTCCTCTCCTCCCCCCACTCTCCTCCCCCCCTCTTCTTCACCAGGAAGTGCTGCTGACGGTGAGTAAGAGAACAGACGTGGATGGCAGAATTACCGGTGTCTTCTGCTTCCTGCACTCCATGAACCGGGAGGTCCAAGAAGCCCTAAAAGCCCAGGCTGCCGCGGAAACCGCCGCCCAGGCGCGCATAGCCCAGTCGGACGTGGCAAGAGAGAGCCTCCGGGCGCCCCTGGACGGGCTGGCGTTTATCCGCCTCTCCCTGCAAAGATCAGCTAGCCTGTCCCCTGATCAGGTGCAGCTTCTGGAAACAGCAGCGGCTTTGGAAGAGCAAATGAGAACGATTCTGGCCGATATGGCGGATTTGAATGCGGTGGAGGAGGGTTACTTGGACGTGCAGCGGGTGGAGTTCTCGCTCGTTTCGGTGCTAAACGCGTCGCTTAGCCAAGCGTCGGGAGCAGCGATCGCGAAAGGGCAGCAGCTGGTGTGCTCGGTACCCAGCCCCATGAGAGTGCGAGTATTCGGTGACCCGACTCGATTGCAACAAGTCCTGGCCACGTGTCTCCGCACAGCAGTGGAGCACACGCCTCCTACCGGGTGGATAGAACTCAAGCTAGAAGCGCCTATGCGGGGAGCGGCGGATGTGCCTCCCCCACAGGGCCACCCGTCAGCTGAACGGTTCAGATTCACCGTGGCGCACTCAGGGGACGGGGTGCCGGGCCCGCTGGTGCAGGTGCTGGTGGGGAGGGGGGGCGTGGCGGCGACGGGGCTGCAGGGCATGGCGCTGCGGCTGTGCCGACGGCTGGTGCATCTGCTGGGGGGCGAGCTGGGGTACGCGTTTGAGAGCGGGCGGTGCTGCTTCAGACTAGACGTGCAGCTGCCCGTGAAGCACAAGGCAGAGGCCACTGCTGGCAGTAGGGCGTGATACAAAAGGGGGAAAGATGTGGGAGCTAGGGGGGGTGAGAGGGGTGTGTGTGTGTGTGTGTGTGTGTGTGTGTGTGTCTGTGTGTCTGTGTGTCTGTGTGTATGTGTGTGTGTGTGTGTGTGTGTGTTGATTTGCAGCTTCAAGTGAGGCACAAAGCAGATGCGACCGTTAGCAGGGGTTAAAGAGGGGGGGTGGAGGGAATGGGGTAGCAGGGAGGAAGGGGGGAGGAAGGGGGGGCGTGTGGGAGGAGAGGGTGGGGGGGGGGGTGGGGGTTGTTGTGTGTGTTATAATGGTGGTGGCTCTGGTTTTGGACATGCTGCTGCTGGTGTAGCCGTTTTGGAAAATTTGGGATTCGTGGCACTGTCCTGTGCTGGTTGTTCGGGGGGGGGGGGGCGGGGATGTGTTGGTTTGAGGAGCAGTAGTTGGCATTGGGGAGAGGGAGGAGGAGGAGGAGGAGGAGGAGGAGGAGGAGGGTGGATGGACAGCGGTGCACATGGCATTACCAGTGGGAGGTCTCACAGAGCAAGAGATAGGTGATGGCAGGAGAGGCGGTGCAGTCATGTGTGTTACGGGATGGAAGCTGCAGCACAGGGAAGGGGGGGGAGAGAAGGAAGGAGGAGTGGGGGAGAGAAGGAAGGAGGGGCGGAAGCAGCAAAAGAGAATGTACAGGCGAACAGGGGATATGCCTGGGTGCTGGGTGGTGTGGGCTGGGGAGGCAAGGTTGCGAGGTTGAAGCACCAGAGCCTTGGGTGACGTTGGGCGGTGTGCTGGCTGCCAGGGGCGAAGCAGAGCCAGGGTTAAAATCAAGGGCAGCTTCGCAACTGGCAGAAGAAAGCAGAAGAAAGTTTTGCCGTGCTTCCCTTCCTTGCCCAAAGCAAGCAAGAGGCAGGGCATGTGTGGGTCAGGGAGAGTGCTTGGAGCAGGGTGCGCAAATCTATCACACAAGCAAGAGGGGAGATGGGCCATGATAACACTCTGCGTGTGTGGTGCCTCCAGCTGGCAACATCTTTTCCCCTTCTAGGTTGTTTTTTTGGCTGCCCGTTCTCAAGCTCCACGGCTATCAACCTATGCACGTGCACCACCATCCTAGGTGGTTGTTAAGTCGGTGGGAGACTGGGTCCATTTGTGTACAGTTGGTTGTGTGTGTTACGACTAGAAAGAATGGTTAGAACAAGGGAGAACGGGGGAGATATAGCGTTTGGGTTGTACCCACTAAGAACATACCCTATCTGGCCTATAACTTCTACATAACAATGTATGTATAAGTTGACACACCCCCTAGACTAGGTGAGGGGTAGTGCTGAGCAAGAAAATACGCAGCTCAGGGTGGCACTCTTAGTCCAACCTCTGAGGCAGGGGTCCGAAGACTAGTTAGCAAGAGTACAAGAAAGACAAAGCAAGTTTGGAAGGCATAAATATAAAGGAGTACACAATCAAGGGCCTAGCAAGTGAGAGTCAACAGGGACTAGACCTAACTGCAAGCAGTGCCGCAGATGATCTCTAGGCGGAAGCGACTTAGTAAAGATATCAGTTGTGTTGGCACCGGAGGCCAAGTGTACTACGCGGGCCTGGAGACGCTGCTGAAGCTCGCGCAAGAGGAAGTACCGCAGCTGGATGTGCTTCGCTCTGCCCTCAAGTCGAGGCTCCTGACACAGGAGGATCATGGCCCTCTAGTCCACGTACAGAACCGGGGCAGAGCTAGGCCGCTCACCTAAGTCGGCAAGCAAGAAGGCCAGCCTGCGGAACTCCTGTGCCGCCATGGCACCAGTGTAGATCTCAGCCTCGCACCTAGACTGAGCAACAGACGAGGAGAGAGTGGACCTCCACGAGATGGCACCAGAACCAAGGCTGAAGCAGTAGCCTTGGGAGGACCTGAGGGTCTCAGCGTCGTCTGCCCAAGAAGTGTCTGTGTACCCAGTAAGGACCACTAGCATGCTTCCACCCAGCACTAGCCTCATGCCCGATATACTTGCAAGATAACGCAAAACCCTCTTAGCGGCCGACCAGTGATGTGGTCGGTGTCTGCCTGTGGCCACAAAGCGGGCCAGGATGCTGAGAGGGTATGCGAGATCTGGACGAGTGCAAGTCATCAGGTACATGAGGCAACCCACCAGCTTTGCGTAAGGACCACTGGGCTCTGCTGACTCCTCGGGAACTGAAGCTGAGAGCCTGTGGCCTACCGGCAGAGGTGTGGGCTGTGCGGAGGAGAACACTGAACCTCTGAAGGACCTGGTGCACCAAGTGTGACTGTGTAAGAGTGATGGTGCACGCTGCTCTGTCCCTAGAGATCTACAGGACAAGGTAGCGGCGCAGCTGTCCCAGGTCAGTACAAGTGTGTCTCCTCAGCAGCTCAGCCTTCACGGAGGCCAGCGCGTCTCTGTCTGCAGTAGTAAAGACCTGGTCGTCTACATACACAAGGATGTAGAACGGAGTCTGGCCAGCACGAACGAAGAGCGAAGGGTCAGTAGAGGATGGAAAGAACTGCAGGTCAGCTAGCGTAGCACGCAGCGTGTCGTGCCACTCACGGGCCGCATGTCGCAGGCCGTAGACCGGGCGCCGGAGGAGCCACTGGGTCCCAGGAGGGAAGGTACCGGTGAAGCCCTGAGGACGGCGCAGGTAGACCTGCTCGTGCAGGCTACCCTGAAGAAAATCAGTGGAGAAGTCGAGGGAGTGCAGCTCGTAGTCACGCTGTGCTGCTATGTGTAGCAGCGCCCGAAGAGTAGTCATCTTCGGGGTCGGGGCGAAGGTCTGAAAGAAGTCCACCCCCTCTCGCTGATTGAAGCCTCTAGCCACGTAGCGCGCCTTGAACACATGCGGCTCTCAAGGGGGGCGCTTCACCTTGAAGAGCCAGCGACCATCGATTACGTTCACCCCAGGTGGGGGAATTGCGTCGACGTAGGTGCCGGTAGCCCTCCAAGATGCCATCTCCTGCTCCATGGCAGCTATCCACTGAGAGGCCCAGGGTCCCGAGGTCGCCTCAGCGTAGGTGCAAGGCGTCTGGGTCGCCCTCAGGGACTAGAAGCATGGAACAGAGATAGGGAGCAGCCTCTGAGAGGAAAGCAAGCTCGTACTGCCAAGGGCAGGAGCACCCACGACGGACGGAGGACAGACAGGATCAGAGACCAGAGCGGTAGCGAAGTCAAGGCGGCGAGTAGAGGCAAAGTCAGCGAGAGCAGCGACAAGAGCGTCAAGACTGGAGACAGGAACAAACGGGTCGGTAACGAGGGAGGCAAGGACCCGAGGAATAAGAGGAGGAGCAGCACGAAGGTAGTCAGACAGAGGGGGAGGCACGACAGCGAGCGACGACGGAGGAGGCGAAGGAAAAAGGGGAGGACGAGACGCGTGGGAACAAAGCAACATAGGGTGAGAACGCTGAACAAGAGAGACAGGACGAGCATGAGAGGGACGGCGAGACTAGACGTGAGACGGAGGCATCGGGTCAGGAGACAGAGGAGGAGTAACAGGAGGGGAACGAGGTGGGAAACGAGCTGGGGATGATTCTGGCGGAGGAAACACAGGACCGTGGACAGGAAGACGAGGAGACGGCGAGGGAGGCGCAGGCGAGCGGTCAGGGGAGGGAAGGCCAAGCAGGCGAAGGGCGGACACCGGTGGTGACTGCTGCTGCTGCTGCTGGACGCCGACACCTGGACCACCAGCTGCACCACTGCTACCTCCGGGACACTCCACGCTAGCACCCCCAGAATGAGAAACCTCTCCAGCGCCGGTGCCACCCTCGAGCCTGCCGGGAGAAGCCACGACAGGAGCCCCAGGACTAGCACCCTCCTTAACTCCAACACCCCCAGAGTCCACGAACGGCTGCGGCTGCGGCGACGGCTACGGCTGCTGCGGCCGGCGGAGGCGGTGGCGACTCTGACGAGGGAGGAGGAGAGACCGGGGGAGGGACAGGCGGCGCAAACGGCGCCGCGGGGCCACCTGAGTCTGCCGACTCCTCGACTGGGGCAACCGACGGGAGGGGAGTGACGTGAGACACACTTGACGGAGCAGGACGGGGAGGGAGGGGAGCAGGGGCGACAGGGGGAGTGGGAACCAGGAACAGGGGGGGGGGAAACCGGGAGACCTCGGTGAGGAAAGTAGTGGTAAAAGGAGACAGACTCGTCGAAAAAGGCGTCACGGGAGTGAAAGAAGCGGTGAGACGGCGGGTGGTAGAAGTGCCAGTCAGACGAGTCAAGGGGGAAACCGAGGAAGACATAGGGGACAGTGCGAGCAGTAAGCTTGTCCGTACCGGAGGCACGAACGTAAGTGAGGCAGCCACAGACGTGGAACGCAGACGCCTCACCAGGGAACCTGGTCCAAAGAAGAGTCAGCGAAACCTGCGGCCGCTGGGAGCGCGGCCAGAGGTTAAGCTGGTGAGCAGCGTAGCGAACAGCGAACAGCCACAGAAAATGGTGTGCACCGGCATGGATCATGGAGGTACGAGCCACCTCCATGACCAAACCGATGCGTCGCTCAGCGACCCTATTCTGCTGCGGGGAGTCCGGTAGGGTGTATGACTGGGTGATGCCCTCCGCACGACAGAACTGACCCAGCTGACCAGAGGCAAGCTCGCCGCCACGGTCGGAGTGGAGACACAGCACAGGGAGACCGCGGTGGAGGCGCGCAACTACGAGCCACGGGAGAAGAACGTCAGGCCCGTCGGCCTTCCGCTCCAGGGGAAACACCGTGGTGTAGCGCGTGAAGTCGTCAACGAGCACAAGAAAGTAGTGCACGCGACGCGGTCCAGGGACGGGGGCTTGGCCCCAGATGGCCAAGTGCAGGGTCTTAAGGGGTGCAGTTGCAGGGCGAAGCGAGGAGGAGTGAGGAGCACGGCGCAGCCGGCCCTCGACGCAAGGCGTGCACGGCGGCGCAGGCGAGGGAGGCAGGGTAGGAAGCGACGCAGGGAGACCTAGGATGAGACTGTGCTGAGACATGTGACGCAGACGTGGGAGCGCGGGGTGACCTAGGCGGTGGTGCCACAACAGTGACGGGTGAGTGAGCGACCGACACGAGTAGGCCGCAGCAACCTGGGTGGACGCAGGGCCGGAGGGAGACACGCCCGACGGGGGGGAAGCAGTGTCCAGCGTAAACAGGCCAGGCACTGGGTCCCGAGGGAACATAGCAAGGGGGGCACGTAAGGCGGTCTCGGTATAGACCGCGTACCGCTCGTGACCAGGGAACATAGTGGTGACGCCGAGGTCCTGAAGACAGCCGACACCAACTAAGTTCCTGGAGAACGAAGGGATGTGCAGGCCTGTAAGGGAACCCAAGGGAACCGCCGGACAGGGAAGGGTAGTGTAGCTGTGAGCAACTACAGGACCAGAGGAGGGGTCAGCAAGAGCGACGGCGGCCGGTGCAAGAAGCGGCGTGAGAGTGGCGTGGTCTCGGAAGAAACAGGCTGACGCACCGGAGTCAAGAGTGAAGGACAGCGATGCCGTAGTGGCTGACGACGGAGGAGAAAGGGTAGAGCCTAGGCTAGACAAAGCAAGCTGTCCTACGCCTGACGCAGCAGGGGAGTCTGACCTACACATAGGTGCTATGCCTAAGCTAGAGAACACAGAGTAATAAGATCTGGAAACACTCGAAGCGTCAGCATACAGAGAATGCAAGGCATAACTAATCTGATCCATGTCTAAGTCAAACACAGGCACACCGTGGCGCAGCATACTGGGCCAATCAGGGAGGTTCGGGGCTGGACCGAAGCGGCGACGGAAGAGGTTGTCGAGGCGGCGGAAGCAGCGGGCGGTCGGGTACGGGCGGCAGCACACCGTGCCACGGAGGGGCTCGGTCTGGAGCTGGTACTGACAAATCACAGCACCAAAGCCGCCGATGGACGCCACGCTGCGAGGGCCACCACCGTGACCACCACCTCCTGGGGCTCCTGGCCACCCCGGCGGGAGGCGAGCCCACGGCTGTTGCTGCTGCTGTTGCTGCGACGGCTACTGCTGCTGCTGCTGTTGCGACGGCTGCTGCGGCGACTTCGGCGACTGCTGCTGCTCCTAGGCACCAGCTCCAACCCCCTCGTCAGAACCACTGTCCCCGCCACCACCACCATTAGCGCCACCACCATGTCCTCCCTTGGGGCCACGGCGGCCCTGGCGCTGGCGCTGCTGCGGGTAAGCCGCAACTGCTGTCTCAGGGGCAGGCGCAGTCGTGGCAACTGCGGTTGAGACGCCAACGTACGTGCACTGGGAGGGCGCATAGCCCTGAAAGATAGGGACGGCCGCAACACCGATCGACTGAGCGATAATGCGCTGGCGAGTCTCTATCTCAGACAGAGTAGTG